TGTTCTCTGCTTGTGCTCCAGTTTACCCATTCTATTGTCACTGAGTTTCGGGTACAGGCAGCATCTGCATTGCATGCCAGGTTTATGTTGCTGCACAGTGCTAGGCTGCATTGGGACGGCCCCGTTTTGGTTATACCAGGCTTGGGGACGTTAGTCACTTCGACTTTGGTTCCGTCCGCGTCCCCTAGTCCTTCCCCAGTTAGTGTTGTTCGCCCTGCTTCCCCCCCCCCTGCTCCCGGCTCCCAAATGTCTAAGGGTTTCGGAGGTAGGGCGGGGTTTAGTCGGTGATGAAGCTCGGGAGGCTTCAGCGACTACCCCATTAGAGTCAGAGAGTATGCATTCAAGCCCATTCCTCCTGCCGAGGCTTTTGTGTATTATCAGCAGATCCCTTTCTTTGCTGCCTTTCCCTTGGACTCTACCTTTTCTTCAAGGTGTAGAGGCTGTGGAGGATGGCTCTGCCCCGGTGCTTGGTTTGGAGGCTCCTAGGGCTTCGGAGGAGTTGACCTGAGGGACTTTGGCCCCCCTTTGATCCTGCTTGGATTTTGGTGCCCTCTTTGCAGGGGGGTTTGTTGTTGCAGAGGAAGGGGCTTTCTTACCCCCCCCCCCCTTTCCTGTATGAGTATGATTTGGGGGTCGGCTCCTTCCTAGGTTCGGTTCCAGGTTCCCTTGGGTTCCTTGGCTCCTTCCTTCCAGGGGTTTTCTGCTTCTCGCGTCCCGCCTAACTAGGTGTGGGAGGCTCTTGCAGCTTACCTCCTGCGTGACCAAGATTTTGTCTCTATGATTGATCCGTCCTTGTTTGAATAAGAGTTTTCTTCCCCGTATTGGGTGCATTATGAGGTTCCAGAGTCATTCTGACTAGCAGACTGCCCTTTGTTTTTGCAGGGAGCGTGGCATGGGTTTTGTCGGACCTGCACGCCGATACTCCAGGAAGTAATAATTAATCCTGTTGCGGCTCTTCGCCATTATATGCACGCCTCTGCTTCTGTGGCCAGGGATGCGCTTTGGGTTGATTCGGGTTACCTCGTTCCCTGTTCCAGGGCTCGGGTCTCCCATGTCGTCCGCAGGGTTATTAAGTCTAGCCAGCCTGCGGTCTCCCCTTGTGCCCATGACGTTCATAAGTTTGCTGCTTTGGCTGTCGTGTTTGGCAACATGCTTGGGCTGACATTCGGACACAGGGGTTTTGGACGTCGAACAGGGTCCTGGCCACTCATTATCTTGTCTGTATTCATGGTCCCAGTCATTCATGTGTGGCTTTGGGTCACAGGTTACAGCCAGTTGTCTCGACTTCAAGTTGATGTGCACATGGCGTCTGCTTCCCGGGTAAGTTCCTCTTTTACTTGTCTTTGGTTAGGTAACTCCAGGGAGCCGAAGAGGCACCACACAGAAAACCAGTGTTGAATGTAATGAAGTGCCATTTTTCTGGGTGAGCCTAGGAGGCCCCCTGGTACCTTCCCTCCCTCCGGTCGGCAGTTCCATTTGGCTTATGATGCTCAGCCTCCAAACAGGTGTGAGTAGCCGGCGCGGAGGGTCCAGTGCTTTCCCCTTCCTTCCTTCAGGGGAGGACTGCTCAACGGCGATGTATGATGTTTGCTTGTTTCTTTAGAATTTGGGGGAGTTCTGCCTCTCTGTTTGGTCTTTGGTTGCAATTTCTTACCAAGTGGGGTCTGTTTTGTTGTGCCTACCTTTCTGGGTGCCTAACCCCGGTCGATAGCAGACTTGGAATACTCCCAACCACATGGGGGGTTTCCATTCCCTGTGCCTCTCTGAGGGGGCCAGGTTCTGGCTTGTGGTCCCCGGTAGGCTGAACTCCATTTGACTGATGCCCCAGACTAATATATTGTATATCAGTCCGATGACTCCAGGAGCCTCTGGGGCTCATCCAGAAAATGGCGTTATATTACATTCAACACTGGCTTTTGCCAGCGTTGAATGTAATTTATTTGTTATTTTGTAATTCATTTCATTTGCAATTCATTTCATTCATTTGTTATTTTTCCCTCACACTTTTGTAAACAAATATTTTATATTTATTTTATGGTTTTGCTCGAAACACTTTGCATAATAATGCTTCATAGATTGTGTAACTCCACTCCCTACAATTTGTACATTACTCCTTTGTTCATTGTACACACATTCTTTTGAATACAAATTTATTGTATTGTATTGTATCTGTTTTCTTAAAGTCATTGTGTGAAAAAAGAAAGAACTCTATTGATATTCTTTTTAGGATGTTTATATTCCAGGAAGTAATCTGGCTTCCTCCAACTGTTGTTAACCCTTAAATTGCTCCTGTTGCCCTCAAACTATAAGGGCCGTTGTACCTATCGCATGTGGGACTTTAGATGCCCCTTGAAATATTCAAAATAGTTAAAGATTCTGTGTGGATGTCATTTGACACTAGAGACCTCTGGTAATCATTTGCACTATTGGAAAAAATCCTGAAAGCCTTAGTTACCTTCCTGGGCATTATTTAAAAAAATTAGCACCATGTCATCACTGTTCATTTACTGATGCCTATGCTAGGAATCGTTGATGCCATGCAAAATTTCCAGGGCTTTCATGTACCTGGAAGGTATCAGTGATGAGCAGAAATATGTTACACATAGATAAGTTGAAAATAATTATCAGATTTTGACATTTTCAACATTTCTTCACCTCACTACAGCCAAACCAAAGTGATTAGAACTTTTATTTTTGTTTTCTCGGCATCAGAGAACAATATTTTATGATAGAGAAAGGAAAAAGAATTTCTGAGACTTTTTTTATGTGACTAGGAAATTGATGTAAAAAAGAGGTGCACAGTTTGAGGGTTAAGGTTATTCTGCGGTGTACCTGAGGCTGGTTTCAAAAGTTTTTAAATACAGGTACAGGTATCAAAGTATATCTTGAGGTCAGGTTCTGGCCTGATGTCACAAATATATCAAGGTAATAAGACAATGGTGTTGCTTTGTTCAGTGGCTGAGGTCAGTAAATGCTTTATTTACTATCTTCAGGATCCAGTGTCATTGAAAGGTAGCCCTTGGATAACCACTGTCTGTCTCAGCCTACAGAATATCTGTCTTTCAGTATGTCTGTCTCTGCCTGTTTGTGCAGCACTACCATGCTGCACTGGTAACACCAGTGCAGCAATGGTAATGATGCACACGTAATTCTGATCCTTGTGTTTGAAAGGCCTGTGCAAGTCCATTGATCTGGTAGTTTCATTGGTATCTTTGTGGTACCAAAGCCATTGCACCAAAAAGATACCGAGGTCGCCCAGAAAAGATGGATTCAACACCTGGAAAGACATTGCAGGTGTTGAATCACTTCATACCATGGTGATTCTTATAGTGCATTAGATACCCCATCACTATATACACACTGCTTTCAAATGTTCATTTTCACATAATTTCACATAAAAGCCTGGAACTGGTACTTTTGTTTCATCTCATATTTGTATTTACCATTCCAACAACCTCATCAAACTCTTTAATTTAATGATATATGCTTATTTGTCTCTTTTGCTTTGCTATATCATTCACTATGAGCATTACAGGCAAAGATTTTACTTTTGGCCTTCAAAATATCACAGAGTTGTTTTGCTCACTTAGTATTTGGTGCACCCAAGTCTCTTAGGGGGTGCCTCTTTGTACTCAATTAATAAGCTGTATTTTCTGCTTTAACTCTATCCCTACATATTTCCTCTTGAGTTTGTTGTTAGTAAAAGCTATTACCAAAATATTGCCTGCATTTTGAGATGATAGAGTGAAAGGATGGGTAATATTTTCAATGATATATGATGGGGGTATGGGTGAAGAATAACCTTGACCAAATAATAATAACTACCAAAACAATGCTGAGCTGGGCAAAGAGGTACAGGTAGGATAAGTGATGGGGAAGCACTTATGTGGCATCATGGGGGATCAGACTAGAAAGTCTGATCCCCTTGAGAACTAATGGAACTAATGAAAACTAATGAAATTCAAGGAATTTTCTCAACTCAGTGAGGAGGAAAGGCAAAATTTAATAACTATCTAATAGTATCCACCCAATTTAAGGACCTCTGATTTGCATTCTGCTTGTTTTAACAACTGGCTTTGAAACCAGAATTTGGATCCTCGGTTACAGAGCCAGCATCCAGTAAAAGTGGATTTTCTTTGCTATTGAATTTACTGAGCTTACCACTAAGTAAACAGGTGGCCATTATTGAATTTGTTTTGACACAACTTCGACCTTGCTAGTCCAATGCTTTCCACAGTGTTTTTGTGGAGTAACTATGGACAAAGTACAGTACCAGTGTTTCTCGGCAGTGACTGTAAGAATGTACCAGTCTTTCTATACATTTGTGTGTGGGAGGGAGGGAAAAGGAGTGTGCGCGTGTGCTATGGATGAGTGTAGATGAGTGGGGCTTGAAAATTACTAAAAAAATATTACCGACACCTAAGAACTTCAGGTTTAGTGACCATCCTGATTTACAAATTAGGGTTTAGCCTCATATAGGTTATTAAATTGATGGATACTGTACAGTAGTCTGGCTGTCCAAATAAAATAAACTTAAATGGTGGAATAATTACTGGACCCTATCATACCATTACCCCATACTACCACTACCACATACTACCAATGTCAACTACTACGTAACTTGTCATAACCACTACATTTTATCATCACCACTGCTCCTTTGTACCTTATACCGTGATGGGGTTCTGGGAGTTCTTCTGCTCCATAAGCCCGGCCCAGGGCCAGGCTTGACTTATGAGAGCTTAGGCCCTCCTTTCCTCCTCTTCCTTTTCTTTTCTCCCACCTTCAACCATCACCCACCAGTCTGTACTCATTACTGCACCTAATCACTGCTACCTCCATTCTCATTACACTACCCTGTTCAGGTATGCTAGATCAGGAATACCATTCTTGATTGCTCTCATGCTATTATATTATATGTATCTCGTTTATATTTGTAATAATTAAAAGAAATTACTATTGTACAATAACATGATTTATTCTGTAATGTATACTTGCAGTTTACACGCAAAAAGGATGAATTTGTGAAGCGAGTGTTTGCAGTAGCAATGACCGACTCTGTCCACTTCATACCCAGTCCTGTAGCATTCAAGGAATTAGTCAAAGTAAGTATCATTCAACTGGAGATACTGTAGTAAGGAATGTTGCATGTAATGATAGCCACTATACCTGCATTTGCTATGCCTTGACTCAAATATACTTTTAATTTGTGTGTGCCACCTGCATTTGCTCAAACAAATACAGAGAGCCTCTCTTTATTTGCCTTGAACCCAGCTGAACATTCACTTTTATCCTGATGAGCATATGTATAACCTTCCAACATATGCCAATATAAACTTGTTTCATCAGTCTTATAAATTTGCTCAGGAGATAGAGTCCTCCTGCACGATCTCCTCAAATTTTGACAGCCATTCGTTTGCACCTTTTGCATCAGCAGATTGCTTTTCACCTCTTAATTTCACACGCCTAATACCATGATGAACCTTACAGCCCATTACCAATCCATCACTGTACACACAATTATCATTAAGCTTTACTTGTTGCTGAAATTACATGGCTTTTTTCTTAATCTTCTTTGATTTGGTACGTGTCTGCCTGTACCATTTACAGACAGCGTCATCAGCACTTTTAATATGAGCACTACCAACAATTTTTCTGTTGCGCATTGCCATATCACTCACTTTTAGCATAACTTGAAGAAATCTTGTTTTTAGCCTTCAATATATAATGGAGAGTGGTTTTACTATCTTTGTATGTATTGTACTAGCTTTGTGTGTACTATCTTTGTACTATCTTTTAGTGGTTTTTACTATCTTTGTGAGTACCTCTCGGTACTCACTTTCCCTTTCAGAGCAGAAGAGATCTCTAAGTTAGAGTGAATAAAGAGATCCTATACGGCATGCATAGAAACGATAAAACATTTAAATTATTGGGTCCCTCTCAATTTTCTCAAAATGTACTCTCTGGAAAGGAGATGAGAAAGGTATTAAATAATATATTCATGGAAGATACTGGAAGGCCAGGTCCCAAATTTGCACAGTAGTGTAACAACATACTGGAGCAAAAGATATGGAACGAAATGCAAAATATACCCAATGAGGAGTAGAGGTGCCATAAGCACAATTAGAGAGCACTGTCTGAACGTCCGGGCTCCATGGCTGTTCAATACTCTTCCAGTAAGCATTAGAATAATTGCCAAAACAAAGGTGGCTGTCTTCAAGATACACTTAGACAAGTTCTTGCAAAAAGTGCTGGACCAACCAGGTTGTAGTGGATGTATGGGCCTGCGGGCTGCTCCAAGCAACAGCATGTTGGATCACGTTATCGAGCCTGGCCCAAGGCCGGGATCAGGGAGAACTCCTGAAACCCTCTTCAGGTATGCTCCAGGTATTTGGCATGCATTACACTACTAGGAATTCTAGTTTCAGCTTCCTTTATAAGCTGAACTTTTTGTTCAAAATTCATCACAACATGTTTTCTATTAGCTTCACCGCTTGCTGAAGCCCTGAACAACAGATTTCTTGCATTTCCTGATGCCATAATGGCAGGCTGCAATATATATTAACAGATATAAAATTGTGGAAGAGAGGAAGAGCTTTGTCTGCTGCAGGAAAGTAAAAAAAAAACAAGACTGGGTTGTCAGAACAGGTGCAGAGGTCACATCACAGAAATTCAGTGGCTGGCTGCCAAACTACATAGGCCATTCCTGGGTGTATGATAATAGGGAGACCAGTTTGGTGGCTGATCGGGCTTGCAAACAAATAAATGCAATAATTGAACAGTTGATGGTCGGAAAAAGGGTTGGGCAGTGTACAGTATATGGACAACAGGTTTCAAGAAAAGATTTGATTTCTTGTTTACAGTAGTATATTTATAACTACATACATAAAAACTATAAGGAAACTGAAGTTACTTATGTCATTTTCACAACAAAGATGAATCATTACAAATTCAACACGAGAACATGTGACAATTCCTTACTAATTTAAATCCGAATCAACCAAGTTTCTTAAAGTGCATGTAAAAATAGTTATCAAATTGTTTTTGTTTATTACCACAACCAATCAAAATTGTATTTCCACATATTGTATACAGTATTAATAACAGAAAGTGAAGGAAAGGCCCAATATATGTGTAAGTGTATTAAAACCAAAATTTCAGATGCAACCTACATCCAAAAATTTGGTCTTAATACACTTAAACATATATTGGGTCTTTCCTTCACCTTCATTTAAGTACTATGACATGGTAGGAAGCTTCTCTTTTAATAACAGAATTACATTTCTTATAAATATATAAAATTCAACTTGCACAAATTTTAACTTAGTGGTGTTTAAAGCTGTCTTCATCACCTTCAGATTGGAATACTGTATTGTACTGTATCGTACCTTACAATACAAAAATATAATACCATACATGTTTGAACTGAAGGACTTTATTACTGCGTATATTTTACATGGAAATATAAATATAAAATTGTGCCTATTAGCAGCTTAATCAACCTATCCTAGCTTAACCAAGCTTAACCCTAAAATTGCTATTCAAGTGCTTAGCATGCTCAGCTTCACTGGTTCAAAGCCTTTGACACTGTTATCTTGCCAAAGCTTGGTCTTGCTGGCCTTTTAAACAAAAATGCTTGCCTCTAATTGATGTATATATCTCTTCACTAATGGTAGTCCAACACATAGGTTAAGGGAAATATTGTTAGTTGAAGGCTGGTCCAATCTATTCATGGTATTTTGAGAAAATATAGCAGATAGCTTGATAATTCCACTTTGTTGTTGGAGGAGAATAGTCTAAATGTACAGGGCAAAAACAAAAATAATATATATATATATATATATATATATATATATATATATATATATATATATATATATATATATATATATATATATATATATATATATATATATATATATATATATATATATAAAATCACCCTTTCAAGAGTGCCACCTTACTCCTCACCCTTCCAAGAGTGCCACCTCACACATGCCTCAAGATAACCTACCTGGTAACAATTGCATGACCGTATCCTTCCCTCTCACAACAGATTAGACCTAGGACCCAGTCACCACCAAACAGTCACTATCAAATATGATTTTGCAAATACAGTACATTAAAAATGTTTTTTTTTTTGTAGTTCTTTGTAATTAGTTAATTCAGTCTTATGAGTTTATTAGATGTCCTAATTTTATAAAATTTCTGGAATGCATTGCAGGTATCTTGCAATTGGGTTTGCAGCCAACATCCACTGGACACACCAGTTTCCACACAACCAGGAGACATCAGAAGAGTATCTTCAGGTATTTATTAAAATATACAAAATTCATTATACAGAACAATACTTCTGCACTTTGCATGGATTGATATTAGCAAGTTTTTTCAAAGTGACCTGGATGATCCAAAGAGAGAGACATTCTGCCCACCAGATTCTAATGACTTGTTCATTTGTATTCTACTCACAATCAAGGATTCCATATTTGATTTCCGGGTGGGACAGAGATGGTTGGGTATATTTCCTGTCATCTGATACTTCTGTTCACGTAGCAATAAATAGGTACCCCGGGAGTTAAGGAACTGTTGTGCGTTACATCCTGGAAAGTTCAGCAGTTGACTTAGGGGGGGCTCGATAAACCTAAGTACAGGCTTCCTGTCCCAGACACCAGAAATTAAATAGCCTGGCCACATTATTTGAGGAAGAGATACAGAAGCAAATCTTAATTCAAGCCTCTGCCAACAAATGAACTTGCTATAAAACAAAATGATGAACATTAGGTGCTTAATAGGAAGTAGGTATTGAGGGCTCTGCAATCCCTGCTTGAGCACCATTTTCCTGGGGCTGTGTTTTGAACCGTGTGGTGAGGCGAGGCCTAGGGGGGCTGTTTGACAGTCAGATGATGCCTGCCTTCTGCAGTTTGTCGAATTCCATGCAGGTTGCCTTCAGTTATTCCAGAACCAAGCACCATAGTCTGGCGAAGATGGGAGAGTCAGATCTGCTAATGTGGTGAGTGACAGAGTGTTGCACCTCATGCCGAGAGTTGGTGGGCTTTATATTATATATATATATATATATATATATATATATATATATATATACAGTATATGAAAACTCCACACCCCAGAAGGATTCGAAACCAGACAATTATTATTATAATAATTATCATAATAATAATTGTTGTATTTAATAAGTATCACTCTTCCTTCTACTTGGTCTTGAAGGAGGCCGGCCTTGGGTAAAAAGGGGCTGTGACGATCCTTGTCTGGAACCCATAGGTGCGGGACCGGGACGTCCACCTCCCAAGGGTCGTGCAGCCCAGGCTCTGCCTCAGGTGGCTGGGGTCGTTCATACCCTTGATGGGGGTGGTTCTTCTCCGGCCCCGACCACGGCGGTCTCCGGGTTTGGATGTCCCTGTGCCCTTCTTCACCACCTTCGATGTCAACCCCGGAACTCACAGTTCCTGCGACGGCGCTGGAACCAATCGTATTGGCGTATGCCTTTCCATTGGAGACTTTCAGCGCCGTGGAGAGGGGGGACCTGCTGCCTGGGTAACAGCTTCTCCCCCGAATCAACCTACCCTGGCTTTGTGCCCTGGAAAGGCCATTCCAGACCGACAACCAGAGCGCAACTCCATAGTCTCCTGAGACTGATGGATGACTACTACTACTACTATTATATATATATATATATATATATATATATATATATATATATATATATATATATATATATATATATATATATATATATATATATATATCGTACCTAGTAGCCAGAATGCTCTTCTCAGCCTACTATTAAGGGCCCGATTTGCCTAATAAGCCAAGTTTTCATGAATTAATGTTTTTTCGACTACCTAACCTACCTAACCTAACCTAACCTAACTTTTTCGGCTTCCTAACCTAACCTAACCTATAAAGATAGGTTAGGTTAGGTTAGGTAGGGTTGGTTAGGTTCGGTCATATATCTACGTTAATTTTAACTCCAATAAAAAAAAATTGACCTCATACATAATGAAATGGGTAGCTTTATCATTTCATAAGAAAAAAATTAGAGAAAATATATTAATTCAGGAAAACTTAGCTTATTAGGCAAATCAGGCCTTGCATAGTAGGCTGAGAAGAACGTTCTGGCTATTAGGTACGACATATATATATATATATATATATATATATATATATATATATATATATATATATATATATATATATATATATATATATATATATATATATATATATATATATATATATATATATATATATATATATATATATATATATATATATATATATATGTCGTACCTAGTAGCCAGAACGCACTTCTCTGCCTACTATGCAAGGCCCGATTTGCCTAATAAGCCAAGTTTTCATGAATTGTTTTTCGACTACCTAACCTACCTAACCTAACCTAACCTAACCTAATCTATAAAGATAGGTTAGGTTAGGTAGGGGTTGGTTAGGTTCCGTCATATATCTACGTTAATTTTAACTCCAATTAAAAAAAATTGACCTCATACATAATGAAATGGGTAGCTTTATCATTTCATAAGAAAAAAATTTGAGAAAATATATTAATTCAGGAAAACTTGGCTTATTAGGCAAATCGGGCCTTGCATAGCCGGCCGAGTACGACGTTCTGGCTACTAGGTACAACATATATATATATATATATATATATATATATATATATATATATATATATATATATATATATATATATATATATATGTGTGTGTGTGTGTGTGTGTGTGTGTGTGTGAACAAGCCTGAATGGTCCACAGGACTATATGCAACTGAAAACTCACGCCCCAGAAGTGACTCGAACCTATACTGCCAGGAGCAGCGCAACTGGTATGTACAGGATGCCTTAATCCACTTGGCCATCACGACCGGATAAAAACTGATGGTAGCCGAGGCTATTTAGCCCATCAGCCCGCCGGCACTGTGATGGTAATCTTGGGCATAGCATTTTATCAAATCACCTCATTCTTTGGGGCACACGTGAGGAACACAAATGCGAACAAGCCTGAATGGTCCCCAGGACTATATGCAACTGAAAACTCGCACCCCAGAAGTGACTCGAACCCATACTGCCTGGAGCAACGCAACTGGTATGTACAGGACATACCAGTACAGGATGTAATACATCTTCAATACGTCGATGTTTGCGGATGATGCAAAGTTGATGAGAAGAGTTGTGACAGATGAGGATTGCAGGATCCTCCAAGAGGACCTGAACAGATTGCAGAGATGGTCAGAGAAATGGCTACTAGAATTCAACACGAGCAAATGTAAAGTTATGGAAATGGGAATAGGAGATAGGAGACCAAAGGGACAGTACACAATGAAGGGGAACAGCCTACCTGTAACGACGCGTGAAAGAGACCTGGGGGTGGACGTAACACCTAATCTATCTCCTGAAGCACATATTAATAGGATAACGACAGCAGCGTACTCTACACTGGCAAAAGTTAGAACATCATTCAGAAACCTAAGTAAGGAGGCATTTAGGGCGCTTTACACTGCCTACGTAAGGCCAGTCTTAGAGTATGCCGCCTCATCATGGAGTCCCCATCTGAAGAAGCATATAATGAAACTGGAAAAGGTTCAGAGGTTTGCAACGAGACTCGTCCCAGAGCTACGAGGGATGGGGTATGAAGAGCGCCTGAGGGAACTGTGCCTTACGACACTAGAAAAAAGAAGGGAGAGGGGGGACATGATAGGAACGTATAAGATACTCAGAGGAATTGACAGAGTGGACATAGACGAAATGTTCACACGGAATAGTAACAGAACGAGAGGACATGGATGGAAGCTTGAAACTCAGATGAGTCACAGAGATGTTAGGAAGTTTTCTTTTAGCGTGAGAGTAGTGGGGAAATGGAATGCACTTCAGGAACAGGTTGTGGAAGCAAATACTATTCATAATTTTAAAACCAGGTATGATAGGGAAATGGGACAGGAGTCATTGCTGTAAACAACCGCTGCTCGAAAGGCGGGATCCAAGAGTCAATGCTCGATCCTGCAGACACAACTAGGTGAGTACACACACACACACACACACACACACACACACACACACACACACACACACACACACACACACACACACACACACACACACATATATACTGTATATATATATATATATATATATATATATATATATATATATATATATATATATATATATCACCAGAGGTGGTACCCTTTCTATATATATATATATATATATATATATATATATATATATATATATATATATATGCGAACAAGCCTGAATGGTCCCCAGGACAATATGCAACTGAAAACTCACACCCCAGAAGTGACTCGAACCCATACTCCCAGAAGCAACGCAACTGGTATGTACAAGACGCCTTAATCCACTCGACCATCACGACCGGACAAAATGAGGTGATAGCCGAGGCTATTTGAACCACCCCACCGCCGGCACTCGGATAGTAATCTTGGGCATAGCATTTTACCAAATCACCTCATTCTTTGGGGCACACGTGAGGAACACAAATGCGAACAAGCCTGAATGGTCCCCAGGACAATATGCAACTGAAAACTCACACCCCAGAAGTGACTCGAACCCATACTCCCAGAAGCAACGCAACTGGTATGTACAAGACGCCTTAATCCACTCGACCATCACGACCGGACAAAATGAGGTGATAGCCGAGGCTATTTGAACCACCCCACCGCCGGCACTCGGATAGTAATCTTGGGCATAGCATTTTACCAAATCACCTCATTCTTTGGGGCACACGTGAGGAACACAAATGCGAACAAGCCTGAATGGTCCCCAGGACAATATGCAACTGAAAACTCACACCCCAGAAGTGACTCGAACCCATACTCCCAGAAGCAACGCAACTGGTATGTACAAGACGCCTTAATCCACTCGACCATCACGACCGGACAAAATGAGGTGATAGCCGAGGCTATTTTATGTATGGGTTCGAGTCACTTCTGGGGTGTGAGTTTTCAGTTGCATATTGTCCTGGGGACCATTCAGGCTTGTTCGCATTTGTGTTCCTCACGTGTGCCCCAAAGAATGAGGTGATTTGGTAAAATGCTATGCCCAAGATTACTATCCGAGTGCCGGCGGTGGGGTGGTTCAAATAGCCTCGGCTATCACCTCATTTTGTCCGGTCGTGATGGTCGAGTGGATTAAGGCGTCTTGTACATACCAGTTGCGTTGCTTCTGGGAGTATGGGTTCGAGTCACTTCTGGGGTGTGAGTTTTCAGTTGCATATTGTCCTGGGGACCATTCAGGCTTGTTCGCATTTGTGTTCCT